ACAGTGCTGCGCTCAACCACCAGCGCCACCAAGGGAGGCCTGGAAGTCAATTTTTTTTTGCTATATTTATAACACAGTTTTTTTGTCCTTATTAAAATTGGGTTATATCTTGCTGATTATTGAGTTTTAAGCATTATTTGTAAATTCTTGATACAGTCCTTTATCAGTTTTGTAATATGCAAATGTTTCCCCCCACTCTGTGACTGAACTCCTTTACTGACGGGAAAGCAAGCATTATTGTCCAGACAGAAGCATGGATATATTTTTTTAGAAAAGAAAAGATAAATTGCTAATTGGTTTTGAGCAGATACTGGCTGACTGGGATGTTGGGGGATGGAAGGGAATGACTGACTTATGCGTATCCTTGAGTGTTATTTAAATGTTCTTGCATGAGCGTGAAATATGCTTTCAAAACTAAATTACACTTCATTCCTCAATTTATAAAACTCTTCACACATCATGTCCAAATCACGTATTAAGATCAGACTGGCATGTGGGCTACAAGTGAGGGGCCCGCACATCATAGTTGCACAGTCATGGTTTCTCTCAGGGGTCACCCTGGCGTTGTCCGTTCTGTGGGTGTTGGACAAATGTAAAATGACCTGTGTCCATTATGAGAATATCATGCAGAGTATTTTCACTGTCCCTAATGTCTTCTGTGCTCCAAGGAAGCAAAAGCAAAAAAGTAACCAATGGAATCACATGAGACTAAAAAGCTTCTATATAGTGGGGGAAACTCATTAAAATGAAAAGACAATATCAAGTTGGAGAAAATATTTGCACATCATCAATCCAAAAAGGAGTTTGCTGCAAGAGGCCTTGTTGCTCCAGCCAGATAGGATACTGACAAGCAGCTAAGAGAAAAGGCCTCACACCGTGGGGCTGAAGATCTGGCATCCCTTTGCTTTTTGTTCTTGGTCATAGAGAGAAAAAATTTGTCAGAAAGTATATTAGGCAATAAATTATATGTATCAGCATATTGTAAGTAAATAGCACGAAAAATTGTTTAGAAATTAGTTGTTGGGCAGTTTGGCCCACTTGACAATGGGAGATGGTTTGTTGAACATGCCTGACAAGCATTACAATACAATAATTATAGTGGGTCCTTCTTTTGCCTTCCCTTGAAGTTTCTTGGGAAAGTTTTTAAATGAAGCTATTTGAGTTAGGAGTTTCTAAATAAAAAAAAGTTCTGATAGCTGAGTAGCAGCCAGCTCCTGCTGTGAAGGCCATGAGAATAAAAAAAAGTCTTTTCTTGCTTAGGCTTTGGCTGATAGGGATGTACTGGCGGCTATCTACTGTCTTAGGTTATTGTTTGGTTGAAACAATGAGTTCTAGTGTAAGGCTTAGTTTTTTATTAGCCTTGAAGGTTGCCTTCTTGCTGAGAGCACTTAGTGGCGAAAAGCCCATAGAAAAAGAGATGCACTGATTGTTTCTGCTTTGTTTCTATGCACATGCTAATGTCATCTCACTGCTTGCAAAAAATGTACAAATAAAGAACCTGCTGAGCCTCTTGGCAGAAGATACTAACACCTCACCAAGTGTCTGTGTCTCCTCATTCCCTTCCCCTCAGCCCCTAAGTTTCAGTCCTTTCGTTTTCGCCGAGGCCGTCTCATCCTTTCAGGAACCCCTGACACGACATTTTGCCAGAGGCTGGTCCCTGGCAGGAGTTACTATCCAAGACCTACAAAGAACTGCAAAACAAGAAAACAACTCAATAAAAACAGGGCAGAGGAGCTAGATGGATACTTTTGTAAAGAAGACATACAGATACCCAATAGGTACATGGATAAATGTTTGTCATGTGCTGTCAGGAAAATGCCAATTAAAACCACAATGAGTTACCCCCTTACACCTGTGAGAATGACCCACTGAAGGGTGTGGAGGAAAAGGAACTCTCTCTGGTACATGGTGGGTGGGAATGAAGTCTGGTCCTGTTAGTGGGCAGAATGAGGGTTTTCCAGGGTTTCTCAAACCTGTACACTCTACATGGGATCTGCCATCATCTGAATTAAGACAAAACATACTCTAAAGCCTAAGACCTTCAATAGAAAAGAACTTTAATACAATTATTGTGCAATAGAGAGAAGAGAAAGAATATAGTTAGAATAGTTCCCAAGTGAAGCACCCAAAGCTACCCATCCCCTCATGGGTAAATGCCCAGAGAAACAGGGTTGGCCCAAAGCAGGCCCACTGGGCCCGAACGCCTGCCACAAGGGTAAGGCACCTACTGGGACAGGGGCAGGAGGGGCCAGTCAAGTCTGGAAGGAAAAGAGCAAAATCAAAATCCACATCAAGACAACAGCTGCCATTGTCAGCGTCTCCATGGGACTCTCACCTAAGTCTCTGTCTCTTTCACATGTCTCTTTCTGAGTCCCCAATTCCCTGGCACAAGTCCAAGCCTGAGGAACAAGCCTGGCTGCTTCTTCACATGTCTCTCTGCTCCATGTGCCTCCTCCAGTCTTCTTTCCTCATCTCAATCCACGTCTTCCTCCTCTTCCTTAGCTTCTCATCCCTGCTCAGCCCCACATTTCCTTGGGTGGGGCGGTAACCTGGAACCTCTCTTTTCTACGGATAGCACATTGGTCCTGCCCCTATGGAAAACAAATTAAGTTTTCTCAAAATATTCAAAATAAACCTGTCCCATGGTCAAGCATTCCATTCCTTGGTATTTATCCAAAGAACGTAAAATGCTAATTCCGAGGAATATGCGCCTCCTATGGTCACTGCAGCACTGTCTACCATAACCAAGCAATGGAGACTACCTAAGTGCCCAACGGCAGGTGAGGGGATAAAGAACACAAACCGTATACACAATGGAATACTACTCAGCCATGAAAAAGAAAAATACTGACTTTGCAACAAGGATAGATATGGATGGGATTATGCTAAGTGAAATAAGTTTGAAGGAGAAAGTGAAATACTGGATGATTTCATTCATATATGGAATATAAATAAACAAAGTGGGCACAGGTGAAACTAAACCAAAACAAACTCTAGAAATATGACTGTGGAATTGAAGGTATGGGGTGGGGGTAAGAGCAGGAAACAAGGTAGGAAGAGGGCCCAGTGAACTATGGTGAAGACTGTGGGTGCCCTTATGGTAGGCGTGATGTGGTAACAAACATCTGAAGAGGGGTGACCCTGGGCCTCTGAACACATACAGTGTGCAAAGCAATGTTACCTCAACTGAGTAATACAATGAGGGGAAAAAGAAACAAAAAAAGCAAATTGTCCTCCAGCAGTCACTGACCTCAGGACTTTGCCCTCGCCTCCTCACTGTCATGCAGGCTGAGGGGCTGGTTTCCCACAAGGTCAGAGGCAGGAGGTGCAGGGACTCCTGGGGCTGCTCAGACACCGCTGAGTAGAGACACTGCAGAGAGGGAGGCTCTGAGGGGACCAGAGACAGAGGGTCAGAGTAACCCCAGTGCTGAGTGAGGGTCTGGTTTCCAAGAGAGGAGGGTGTGTGTGTGTGTGTGTGTGTGTGTGTGTGTGTGTAACAAGAATGACAGGATATACAACACAAGATGATGGGAAGACAATTAACATCAAGCCCCAGAATAAATGAATTGAAATCGCACACAGAGTAAAGAGTGCCAGAACAACACCTCAGTAAATGCAGTTCTGTGGAGAAGCAGTTTCCAAGCAGGACTGAAAAGGCATTGGACCTGAAGAAGAGGCTGAGGTTTAGAACTATCTCATGGTTGGTTTGAGGTGTAAGGAGCTGGGCAGGACCCCTGCTCCAGGCCCCTGCTAGGATGTGGTGGTAACTTCACCCCTGACAGCTCCCTCCCCCAGTCGCCAATGTTCATCTTCAGTCCCCTACATTCATCTTCTTTGGAATCACCATAGAAAACCCACGGGCCTCAAAATGAGGTTGTTCCATGCGCTTCAGCTACTTTCTCTCTAGACCAGAGATGGAGAAGGGCCTCCCCGGTGGCGCAGCGGTTGAGCGCTGGGTTGCGAAGCTGCCCTCAGCCTCTGCAGCGCCGGTTCGATCCCCGGCTGCTCCCCGGCCACCTGAGGAGGGTCCCACATGGCGCGCAGACCTCTCCTGCTGCCCGCTGCTCCCCTCAGCAGTGTACTTCGGTCCTTCTGCCTGCTCTGCTCCCTGCTCTGGCTCTGGTGAATTCTCTCACCCTCCCGCGCTTCTGACTGTACCCAGTGCATGTGTAAACAGAACAAACAAACAAATAAATAAATAAACATGCCTCTATAAAAAAAAAAATTAAAAAAAAAAATAGACCAGAGATGGAGGGAGCCACACAGGGGGAGGGAGGAATGTGTGTCCCCCACTGGCCTGACCCAGGGGCAGGATTAGCCCAGGTCACCCCAGTTCCTGAGCTGAGCCTTTGTCTACAGTCCAGGAAGGGAGGAGAGATGGAACAGGGTCTGTTGCGTTGGGCAACACCACACTGATAAAGAAACGGGAGTTGTGGAGCAGGCTATATGATGCAGGATGCTGCGGAAGAGGAAGATCCGGGCCGTTTTTATTGCTAGAATAATCATACAGCATCAGTTACGTGGGGTAGGAGGACAAGGAGGAAAGGATGGGTGAAATAAGGAACGTCGTCTTGGGCTTCAGGGGGACAGGAGTCTGCTGACCAGATAATTCTTATCTGCTTGATGATCAAGTGTTGGAATCGAAACCAGACCCCAGACCCTGGACCATGGGCCTAATCTTATCAACAAGGCAGCCCACTGGTCAGCTTCTGGGCTCCCTTGTCACACCTCGTGATGCATCGCCTTCCCAGGGAGATCAAGCTTTCTCTCTTGAAAGATTTGCAAGGCACCATGTAAGGTCTGGCTCCCGTGACTGAGTGACCGGGCAGTTCTGACCTTGTGCAGGAATGCAGAACTGCAGGTCACAAAAATGGCGGCTGAACAGGCTGCTCAAGTTTAGCGGACCCACCAGGGTCTCCCTCAGCTCCTAGGGGGAGATATAATGTTAGAGGGGCAAACTGACATTTCTTTCTCATTCTGGGGCTCTCCTGTCTCCCCAGCGTAACCCTCCATGTGCAGCAGGGAGAGGATGTCAGGTCAAACCCAGGCTGCTTCCCCCACGCCTCTCCCCACTAGTGTTCAGGATGCATCTCCTTGTACGCATGGCCACCCTGGAGGAGAGCACGGAAAGGTAAGTATCATTATGATATTTGCTACTGGGATTGGAGGTGAGTTTTTTTTTTTTTACTATAAAAGTTCTTTTATTTGGGTTGTTGCTGTAACAAGGCTGTGCAATTAGGAAAAAACCTGGGAGAAGGAGAAAGTGTTGAATTGAGTTTTCATAATGCAAATTTAAAAAAAAAAAAAAAAGGGAAAAACATCAACAATGAAAACAAGAGAAACATTTGCATGAATTACTCAGTTTAACCCACGACACCCTAGAAGTTGTCAGATACCATGATCCCAGCGTAACTAATGACTGTGGGGAGTGAGACTCAGAAGCGCAGCCCAGGCCACACATTGGGCGACCCGGGGTTCTGACCACCCAGGGCCCCCTGCTGTGGCAGTTGCAGTGAGGAAGGGTCTCCGAGCTGAGGAGGCTGAGACCTCAGTGTGGTCACAAACACTGGAAACATCCAGAGTGAGGGTTGGGTCCTCTTAGTGATGGGCGCCCACTACCTGCCCAGCCAGCCCTTCTATTGACAAGTCAAATTAAAAAAAAAATTCCTCCTCATGCTGCTCTGGTGCTGGAGGCAGGTGAGATGGGAGAGAAAGTGGAGGGGATGACAGGTCCTGTGAGCCCTCCCTGCCTGGTGTGGGGAGCAGAGAAGGCAGGTGAGGGTCCATGTTGAGAAAGGCCTGGGGCGCCGTGGGGAGCAGAGACTGGAGAGGGTGAGCGTGTGCGGGGCAGGCAGGAGGCTCCTGCGGTCTCACCAGGGCAGGTGTGGTCACCTCCTCCCTGAGCGTCTCCTCCGCCCTCCCTTGTTCACCTTCCTCACCCACCTTGCAGGACAGTCATGGCCTTGGGGTTACTACTGGACCCCCCCTGGAAGAAGTGATCTGCAGCATCTGCCTGGAGACAGGAGGCACTGGAAGCATTTCCTGTGGCCACAGCTTCTGCCAGGCCTGCTCTCAGCTGAGTGACTCTCTGACCCGCCGAGGTCACTGTGTGCTGTCCACGCTGCCAGGAGCCACCACAAGAGGGAACAGCAGGTCCAGTTTTATTCTGGTCAATTTGTCCTCTGGGAGCAGACTTGCCCAGGGGTCATTTTCCTGCTTCTACATTTAATCTGGATCCCTGCAGCCTGGTGCAAGCGGTGGGGTACGACCAGCTTTGCTGAGGCCCGCTTCAGTAGCAAGCCTTGACAGAAGCCACGGGGAGAGAGGCCCATGGCATTCTATGCCCAAACTCAGCATGCGGACTGTGGGCCTCCCTGAGCTCTGGCAGCGTTGGCCTGGGCTGTGCTATGGCAGGTGGGAGACCAGCCTGGTGGGCTGTGATAGAGGGGTGCCTGCTCTGGATGCTCAGGTGAGCATCTGGCCCTGCTGAAGCCCACACCCACTGTGATCCCTGATGCTGTGGGGAGAGGGAACCTTACTGCATGCAACCTACGGGCCTGTTTGATGCCCTCTGAGTGACAGCGGCCTGCACTCCAGGGTGAGACTATCTGACCTCAGGCATCTGGACACACTGACAGGTGTTTCATTTAGGAACACAGTGCCAGAATTATAATGGACCAATCAGATTCAAGCTCTCACAGGTGTCATTCAAGGTTTTTTTTGTTTTGTTTGTGTGTTTTAAAAGAGATTTTTATTTTTGCTTAGGTATGCACACAAGAACTGGGGTTTAGGCCAGAGGTTTATGGGGTAAGAGGATTCACCAGAGTCAGAGTAGGGAGCAGAACAGGCAGATCTACTGAAATACATTGCTAAGGGGAGCAACGGCTAGACAGGAGAGGTCTGCTGTGCCACGTGGGTTGGTTCCCTGGCCGGGGATCGAACTCATGTTGTAGTGGCTGGCAATAGCTTGATTGTGCTGTGTCATTAACCCCTGTGCCACCAGGGAACCCCCCACCATTCAAGGTTTTTGAGACCTGTATGGTCTCAAAAAGATGCCTGGATGGCATCTAAATGGACCAATCTGATTGGAGCTCCACTGGCACCAACCAAACAGCTGGGATTGTAAAGGGGCCAATCAAGCTTGAGAGGCGGCGCCCTGAAGAGGATACAAGCCAGAGCAGCAGCCAGCCTGAGCCACTTGATAGACAACTAGTGGTCTAAAGATTTGTTGGTACTTCTAGAAAGATCTTTGCCAAGACCTCTGCAGAGTATGAAACCTTTTCCAGAGACCTTTGCTGAGACCTGATGGCTACGCCTGCCTCTGGCCCTGGCTCTAACACCGCCTGCAGACAACATCGTCAGGCTGTCCCTGGGGTTTCTAAAGGAGCTGTTTGCTGGTGGCTTATGCCCAGCCTCTCTAAGGCTGTTTGCTGTTGGTACAATGGCATCTTTATCAGATGTAAACTGGCATCTCTGGCACCATTGCTGCTGGACCAGTGCTGACCAGCACTGCTGACCTGTGTCTGGCCTCCTCTGAGAGCTGTCCACCTCTTCTCATCCTTGGGCACCATCACCTGGTGCTATTGCATCTGGCAGTGTCCATTCCAGGGTCTGGTGCTGTCCGCCGGGCCTTTGGACAGCTGTTGCTGGCTGCTGCAGCATCACCTGAGCAGCTCCACCTGGGCTCACCTCCAGCTGCCACCGGGTGTTGGCTCCTGGTCCACTGCTTACCTGTTGTCACCAGCTCCAGGCTGTCATAGCACAGCTTGTATGAGTAGCCTTTGTTTCAGACCACTGGACACTGAGGACACTGTCTGAGGTAGGACGGATGACCATTTCTGGGCTTAGACACTCCTTCCTTGTTTGCAGTCTCCCCTTTTTAATAAACCCTGTTGCTTTCACACCCTGAGCCTGAGTGTTGTCTTGCAAGTGTGAGCACATGGATGAGGACTCAGAGACAGTGACTGTCCCCAACATTGCCCTGTTTTAACATAACCTGAGAGTGGAACTGGTGACTGTCCCGCTGCAGGGTGTGGTGTCCTGTGCCCACCTGACCCCCCCTTCTCTGTTCTGGCCTGAGAAAGTGACAAGTGAAGCTGCAAAAATTCATGCCTGGGCCTCCTGGTGGCATAAGGGGTTAAGCACAACATTGTGAAGCTATCTGCAGCCTCTGAAGCACAAGTTAGATCCCAGGCCAGAGAGCTACCCACATGGTGTAGCAGACCTCTTCTGTCTTGCCTGCTGCTCCCCTCAGCAGTGTATTTCAGTCAGTCTGCCTGTTCTGCTCCCCACTCTGTCCCTGGTGAATCCTCTCACCCCCCCCCCCACCTCTGGCCTGTACCGCAGTTCTTATAAGTATGAATAAATAAATCTTGGGCCTCCCTGGTGGCACAAGGGGTTAAGATGCACCCTATGAAGCTGTCCACAGCTTCTGCAGCACGAGTTCGATCCCCGGCCAGGGAGATACCGACATGTGCAGCAGACCTCTCCTGACTCACCCACTGCTCCCCTTAGCAGTGTATTTCAGCCCATCCGCCTGTTCTGTTCCCCACTATCTCTGGTGAATCCTCTCACCCCCACACCTCTGGTCTGTACCCCAGTTCTTGTATGCATAAATAAATTAAAAAAATCAATAAATGAATCTTAAAAACAAAATCCATGCCTGCCAGAGAGTGTTAGGATTTGAGCTAAAAAGAACTTCAAATTCATTCTTGTTATCTAGATGAGGGTGAATAATCAAAAGACCATCAGGCCAGTGATGGCAGAACCTGGACACAGCCAGGACCCTGACTCCCTGTCCCTGCTTGTCCCCTCATGCCTGAAGGAGGACAAAGCTGAGGATTCCCAGAGAGGAGCTGGACACTCACCTCCTCCTGCTCATCTCTGATGGAAAAAGCAGGAAACAAATGGTGAGAAAAGTTGAGATCACAGGAAGTTGTAAGTCTGTCTCCCATGACCAGTCCTTGCCCGGGGAGGGCTGTGCACTAGGAGATGCGACCATAAGGCCGTGAGCCCTGATGACAACATCATCTAGGAGGGGGACCATGTAGCAGAGGGTTCCTGTTTCTCCCCAAACACTTCAAACCTTCTCACTGAAAGGATGTTGATATAGAGGGAAAATGAGGAATCAAAGTTAAAGCAAAAGGATACCTGTTTTATGAGTCCTTTTATGGCTACTGAGGTGATACAATACATCATTATTGAAGCAAGAGGGAGGATTTCAGGACAGACGCCCTGTGGACACGCACAGGAGCAGGAGGAATAAGGCCTGTGAGCACACGTGTGAGAGACCTATTGAGGGTCCACAGTCCACGCACACACTCCTGTTCCCTCCTGGGGATCTGCAGATGGTGGACAAATGTCTGTGAATGAAATCATAGAAGATGCTCATAGGTTAGTGTTGGGGGAGCTACTGGGTTTAAAATAACATCAGGGAGGAGGAACATCTGAGATTCTCTAGTGAGGAAATAGCTTAGACTTTTAACAGAAATGATGATGTTCTTTTTTTTTTTTTTTTGGTGGGACCCTCGCCTGCGGTCGGGGAACGAACCGGTGCTGCAGAGGCTGTGGACAGCGCTCAACCACTGCACCACCAGGGGAGGGCAATGATGATGTTCTTTTAGTAAACAGCAGTCGTGGCCGTCATCCCAGAGAGAGGCCAAAGGACAAGCAGGATCTGTGAGCCCCAGGGTGAGCGTCCACCTCAGGCAGAAACAGCTTCTGCAGCACAGACAGTGAGGATGGACGTCAAGGGCAGAGATGCCTAGAGACCCCTCTCCCCACGTGGGCACCGCAGACACGGAGTAAGGTCACCTCCAGGGCCCCATGAGAGCTGCTCTTCTACCCGAGGGGGCAAGTGACCCACAGACCCCCCTACTGAGACCCACTTCTCTCCTGGGAAGGAGAAGCCACACTTTCCCCTTTGCCTCCAGAGCCGCGTGAGCAGTGAAGGTGTCTGTGTGCGCTGAGGAGGAGAATGAATTCAAGCTTTTCAGTAACATTCGTTACTAGTAGTGACATTCCTCAACTTCCAGGCTTGGACTTGTGCCAGGGAGTTGGGGACATGGACAGAGACACGTGAAAGAGACAGAGACGTGGGTGAGAGACCCAGGGGAGCCTGACAATGGCAGCCTTTATCTTGATGTGGATTTGATTTTGCTCTTGTCCTTCCAGACTTGCCTGGCCCCTCCTGCCCCTGTCCCATGGGTCACCAGTAGGTGCCCTAGACTGTGGCAGGCTTTTGGGCCTCAGTGGTTCTGCTGTGAGCCAAGCCTGTTTGGCTGGGCATTTACCCATGAGGGGACAGGTAGCTTTGGGTGCTTAATTGGGAACTATTTATCTATATTCTTTCTCTTCTCTTTCCCTATTGCACACTGATTCTCTATTGCACACTCATTGTGTTAAAGCTCTTTTCTTTTTTTTTTTTTCTTAAAAGGAAGGATACTCCTTTTTTTTTTTTTTGAAGATTTATTTATTTATTTGTTTGTTTATTTATTTATACAAGCACTGGGTACAGTCAGAAGTGTGGGAGGGTGAGAGAATTCACCAGAGCCAGAGCGGGGATCAGAGCAGGCAGAGGGGAGCAGCGGGCGGCAGGAGAGGTCTGCGCACCATGTGGGACCCTCCTCCAGTGGTCGGGGAGCAGCTGGGGATTGAACCGGCGCTACAGAGGCTGCGGGCAGCTTCGCAACCCAGCGCTCAACCTCTGCGCCACCAGGGAGGCCCACTTTTCTAACAAAGATGTTAGGCATTAGATTTTGTCTTTATTCTGCTGATGGCAGATCCCATGTAGAGTGTACAGGTTTGAGGGTCCTGGGAACCCCTCATTCAGCCCGCTGACAGGACCAGACTTCATCCCCACCCACCATGTGCCAGAGTTCCTTTCCCTCCACACCCTTCAACTCACAGGTGTGAGTTTTAATTGGCATTTTCCTGACAGCACATGATGATGAACATGCATCCATGTACCTATTGGCCACATGTGTGTCTTCTTTAGCAAAGTACCTATTTAGCTCCCCTGCCCCTGTTTTGATTGGGTTGTTTCCGTGTTTTGGAGTTCTTTGTAGATCTTGGATAGTAACTCCTTGTTGGATTGATGATGTGCAAATATTTTCTCCGACTCAATATTGTCTTTTCATTTTAATGATAGTTTCCTTCACTGTGTACTTGTTTCGTTGGAGCACAGAGACATTATGGGCAGTGAAAATAATGATGGACACAGGTCACTGTACATTTGTCCAACAACACCCACAGAACGGACAACACCAGAGTGAACCCAAAGGGAAACCATGACTTTAGCGACTATGATGTGCGGGTCCATCACTGGTAACACACGTGCCAGTCTGGTCTTAACACGTGATTTGGTCGTGATGTGTG